ACTTTTCATTTTTTTCCTTTTTAAGTAAGTTTTTTTCAATGAAAGTACAAAAAAACCCTTACTAAAGAGCTCATAAACACAATTAACTACATAATTCATATTTCATTAAATTCCTAATCTAACTTATTTAACATAAGTTATGTCACCCAATTAAATCAAAAATCATTATCTCCCATCTTCATCTCCCACGAACAAATCAGACCACCGCAACACCCACCTTTACCGTCGCCATTGCTACATCTAACCACCGTAAATCATACCACCGCAACACCATCTTCAACGTTGTCGATGCTCATCACCACCGTCAAAGTCGCCTCCTCCTCCTGTGTTCCTATTTCTCTCTCTTCTTTTTTTTTTGAAAAAAAATCGTTTAGATTTAATGGTTTAAGGGGTGGGTGGGCTAGTTTGTGGTTGCTTGAGGCGATTTCTGGGTGGATTAGGGTGATTGAGGGTGGTTTCGTTGAGGTTCAGGGTGAGTAGGGGTAGTTTTTGAGCGATTTAGGTTGATTGTGGGTGGTTCTGGGGTTGAGTGAGGGTGTACGATTTCGAGGTGGTTTGGGTTGAGAAAGGGTAGTTTTAAGGTGGTTTGAGCTAAAAGGGGGTGGTTATGGGGTTTTCCGAGCTAAGAGAGGGTTTTACGGTTGTTCGTGTGTGTGTGGGTGGTTTCAGGGCCTATTATGGGTTGAGATGCGGTGGTTTAAGGCTATGACGTGGGTGGCTTCAAGGTGGGTGCTACGGCCGACGGTGGTGCGGTGGGTGCTGTTGGCCGACGATTGTGTGGTGGGTGCTGTTGGTGGTGGTGGGTGCTGTTGGTGGTGGTGGGTAAATAATTAATTACCTTTACTTTCTCTCTCCTACCTTGCTTGATTACTTATCTTTGATTAATTAATCAACCATTATGAAATTTTGTCTTAAAATCCGTGTCGAGTTCAAAGTTGCAACTAATGAGAAACGGAGGTAGTAAAAATTTTAATTTTTTAATTTATTATTATTTTTTTAAAAAAATAAACTTAACGGAACCCTAACGGATTCCGTTAACTGGTAGCAAAAGTTAAAAAAAAAAAAAAAAAAAAAAAGGGCATATGTTAGGTATTAACATAAAATAAAGGTTTTCATAGATAGCAAAAATGAAATTGATGTGTTTGATAGGTAGCAAAAGTCAAAATTACCTTTATTCTATGTTAGATGTTACTCTCCTATTAGCAAGAGTGTAGCAATCAGCAATGTGTTTTGAAAGTACTTAGAACGTGCATCCAATTATGTGAAGTGAAAGATAATTGGTAATTTATCTTCTGGGTGTGAAAAAATATTGTCTCATACTTTATAATTCGTATAAAGTTTCTGGTTCCCTTATTTCTTCTATAGTCATATGATTTTTTAATGTAATTTCACCTCCATTATGGATCATTTCTCTTGATGAGCCAACAGTTTTGCATTGGAGTGTTACCATATTTGATTGTAGTAGGCTGACTGATAATGGATACCCAATGTATTGAAGCTAGTTGGGCCTCCTGACATTTTATTGTTGGATTTAATACTAGTACCTGGCAGTAACGAAATGGAAAAGTTTGATTATTTTTACCTCAAATCTTTACTAATTTATTAGATATAATATACTACTACCTCCGTTATAAGTTATGTGCAACGATTTGACATAAAGCAGAGAGGAAAAATGTCTAATCTTTGCACATAAGTTGTAACGAAGGTAGTATATATAAATTTTTATATGTATCGGTCACACGGTGTGATTAGTTATCATGAGAGTTATTTTGTTAGTGTTATATGAGTTATTCAGTCAGCGTTACAAGGATTATTCATTCATCAAGTGTCGTAAGGGTCCCTGGATTAGTGTTACATAAATTACTCAATCAGTGTTACATGGATTATTGTTTTCTCTTACAAATCACCACAAAGTCGCATATAAAACGTAACAACTGTCAACAATCAAGGAGAGGTGATACAAATAAAGTAACACACGTGGAGCAGTTGTATAAAAATCTGGAAAAAATTAGACTACAATTCTATTTAAAGCGTGCAAGCTATTCCACTCATTACGCACTCTTCTCTCGGTTCTTACATAAGAAGCTCCTTAATCTGTTAGTCCTTGGTTATCTTGGTACGTCACATTTCTTATTCATCTATCTTTTCTGCCTCTCTTTACTTTTTAAATCCATGCTTATTCAATTAATTTTCAGTTCACGTTTTTATTATATTTTATTTTATTTTTTTTATTTATGAATATTTGAGTTAAAACTTTGTTGTTGATACTTTAATATATAATTATAAATATATACAAATAATATGTAAGCGATCTATGTCCATGGTTTTATGTGGCTCTACCCTTGTGGATCTTGCTTGCTTTCCCCAACTTTTGTTTTTCTGCTCTCATCTCTGTAGATTCGCATCATTTGTTTTGTGTTTATGGCAAACTTTTATATTACTAGAAGTGTATCCATGCATTATGTTAACAAATGTACATGTCTGCCGTCTATGCGATCGATATATCTTCCAATCTTGAGGTTAGGGGTTCAATCTCCACTAAGACGCTTGACGATATGGATATCTAATCCATGTCCCCTCACATTAAAAGTATCTAATCTCCTTTTTTTTTTTTTTTTTTTTTTTAAGGAGTTAATGAATTTAAGTGATTCATTTTTACGTTTAAAACCAAACAAATAAAAGGTAAAAGTTAGATGAATTATTATCTGTTTCTTTTCATTCCGTTCTCAACGTTTGTACAATATGCTCCTATAGTACGGAGTAGTAAGTTATTTAATAGAAAGTCTAGTAAGTAGTACGGAGTAAAACTTTCCTAAATTTGTACAAGACACTAAGACATCATACAGATAAGGGTTTCACTTTACAACCTTAATATCACAATGACAATTCAAATGCCTCCAGTTATATTTTAGGAGCTCGTTAGATTACTAGAATGAATTTTTTTTTTTTCAGCAAAATGAAAAATGCTTTTGGGATGTATTATTATAAACTCAACTGTACATTGAAGAGTAATAAAATTAACATTAGATATACGTCTTGTGAACTCTATCATCATAATGGAAATTGTCGAATACCCAACGAAGCACCAAATTAAATAATAATAACAAAAACCTATAGTGAGCAGTTGTACAAGCATCAATATCTGGAGTTCTAGTAAATGTACGCCTGAACCTACTGTAGCAACTTAACAAATTTTTTCTCTGATTCCTCCAATAAAGAGAAAGAGAAAAGAAGAAAAATTATAGTCAATAGCCCTACAACGTGTCAATATACAAATAATAATATTATTATTATCATTATAGTTGGAAACCACAACTTCACGATTCTCTAATAAAGCACAACTTCCAAATTTCCAATTAAGATTTATTAAAATAGGATATGACTCATATGACTATATGAGGGATCTTATTGAAGTGAGGAGACCACCCACTCAACATGTTTTGTATCTTTACGTTTCTGCTTTTTATCTAACTCAAATAATTCCAATAACAAAGAAATCTTTACGTTAAAGGAATTTTGTTGATTAAAAGTAAATGAATAAGGGTTTGTTCATCATACGTTTATTTTCAAATCAGCTTAGCTCAGTTCAGTTCAGCTCCTAATTTCCTTTTCTTATAAAATATTTATTTCAGTTCAGCTCAACTCAGTTCAGTTCAGCTGAATTCCCTAAGTGTTGTTCAGTAGTTGATCCTTGTAGTAAGGGATGCAAGAACGAATTAACAAGGTTATAACAAGGTTGATTTCTATTCAAAAAAAAGAAAAAGCTTGATTAAATTTTTTTTGTCATACTTCTTTTGTTTTTTAGATGCATTATTTGTAGGTTTTAGAGATAAGAGAGATCCGGAGAATGAAAAAAGATGGTCTATATGATATGAGCAAAAAGATTTGTGTGGACCTAGTCCACAATAATATTATTGTGGACCCGAAGTCTATACACACGCAACTGACATTATATTGAACATAGTGACCATTATTTTTAACATAATAACCTTTATTAAAACTACTACAACGTTTAATAATATTGTGAACTTGAAATATGACACTATTACCCTAATTTTAACATAGTGGCCTTTACTATTCATATTGATCAGTATATAAAATATTTCATTACAAAAATAACCACTTAGGCCTATATATTACCAGAATGATTTTTATTTCAACATAGTGACCTTTTTTTAATTATAATGACCCTTTTTTATTCATAAAACAACCATACTTTCTCTAATGTTAGTGGTCCACAATAAATTAGTGTGAACCAGGTCCATTTAAGAATTTTGGAGAGAATTTATTAACTAAAATACATAATGATGCATCGAATTCGAAACTTTCTTATTTATAAGTGATGCATCTTAAAAAAGAAATGAAAAATGTAATTTGTGATGGGTATAAATGTATATGCAACCAATGTAGGCATATTGCATATATGGATCATTTGAAATTTATTTTCAATATGAAGTAGGGATCATATACTTTTTTTTTTTTTTGAGGGAAAGGGATCATATATTTCATACCAATTATGATTGAGTTATTTTGCCTAAATATTATGTTAATTTGCTTAAATCTTTTGTTATTTTGCTAAAACAGTATGTTATTTACTTACTTACTTCAACAACATGTATAATAATAAAAAAAAAATAATAATAAAAAAAAAGCATGCAAGAATGAAATAACATGTATAAAAATTAAAATAGTAAGAAGTTCATATCAAAATAACATGAATTTTATAAACTTGAAAACATAAAAAAATGCAAAAATAAAATTACATGTACTTATTTCAAAATAATATATATATAAATTAAATTTAATTAGAAGTTAACATCAAAATAACTTAGATTTTATAAAGGTGGAGTACCATAGAAATTGCAGGGTACATATATACATGACTGCATATACATTACAAACTATAATTAAAATTTGATGTACAACAAATATTATACATTATATTATTCAAAAAAAAAATATGTTATACATTTGTTTTAATAAAATTGTAAAAAATCAATTTACTACAATTAAAAATTTACCGTTTTTAATAAATGAGTAAAAATCAAATTAAATCTAGGTGAAAATATATATGCTACTTTTATAAGAACCTAACTTAGTGTCTATTATCATACACACTGGATACACTTGATACACTTAAAAACTATTTGGTGTATACTTAGTTACTTACTAAGAGCAAGATTAACCCTAGCTAGGTCTTAAGATTTTAAATAACATCATCAATTTCTAATTTTGCGGTATTAAGACAAGACATAATTATTTTTAAGCATTTATTAAGTTTGGTCTTAATAAAATATGAAATTCAAGACTCTACTTCAGACTTAATTTAACATTCGATTAATTTTTTATTTAATTTTTATAAAACTTAAATAATTTAATTTATATGTTAAAAAATGAGTCTAAGCAATTGAAGAGATAAGTTTAATAGAGTCTTAAGGAGCCTTAACATAATTATAAATTAGAAAAATAATTAAATTTAATCTAAAGAGCTAATGTGGCAATACATTAAAGTCTTAAGATGAGACTGCGCTAATCTTGCATACACATTTGATACATTGGAAATAATACTACCTCCGTTACAAGTTATGTGCAACAATTTGACATATAGTAGAGAGGGAAAATGTCTAATTGTTGTACATAATCTGTAACGGAGGTAGTATCTTATTTTAGTTCATATACCACAGAGTTAGTTCTCCATTTTGAATCGAGGTGGACTCGGACAATCAGCCTGATTGACGAAATTTTGTCAATCAGCCGCTGATGTGGGGCCCTACACCATCCTTTTTAGTAGTATTATATTCACTCGTACGGATTATGGAAACCGTTGAAAATTGCCCGTTAGTAACATTAATATTAATGTCGTTATGATAAATTTCTTAAAACAAAAGCCTTTCTCCTGGATCGCCAATATCTCCTCGATTGCCAGTTTCATCTCGGTAGCCATCTTCACGGAAATCACCTGGTCGATCCACTGAGTTCGCAAGAGGAAAATCAACGTTATAGAGGCAAAATTTAACTTGTACCAGATATGGGAAACAAGTTTCAACAATTATAACCACAATCAACTTTTTAATCCACTATACTCAATCAATGTAAAGCAGTAAAAGCCACATTCATCAAAAAAATTCAAGTTAATTAACCAATTCGAAAGCATAAAAAATACATGAACTAGCTTACAGTGATTCGACTACGCGGAATTAGTAATTAGTTTGTAGAAAGCTGGAAATTTCCCGAACTAGGTTACGGGAATCGGTATCACAATCTTCTCAATTGATTTGACAGAGGAGGGCTAGTTTACGGGAATTGGTATCACAATCTTACCAATTGATTTGAAAGAGGAAGGCGACTTATGGTTTTCAATATGTCAAATTACAACACACATCACAATTGGCCTTACAATAACCGGAATTGATCTTCAATTGGTTGAAGAAGATGATTTCGCTCTGAAACTTATTAGACTCATTGGGTTTACAATTTGAGAAGGTAAAGTAAACTCACGGAAGACGTCTTTGACTTACGAAGTCGTTAGTCAACAAAAAACCATTGAAGTTACCGTTATACAACATCATCAGGAATGTACTCATTTACCCTTAACATAAATGAGTAAAAGACGAAAATACCCCTGATTTGAACTTAGATTTCCCCATTTTGAATCAACCATATGATCAGAATTTCACAGTAGTGGTGAAGTACGTAATCCTACAGTAGAGGAGGATTACTCCCCTCATTCCCAATTACATATACTTGAGGTCTTTTTTGTAAAGGATTTGATCAAATCATATTTATTGATATTGTTTATAGTTAGCAATCTCTTGATTTACTCTTTAGATTGATAGTCAAAGATATCTCTTATTCTTAGCTAATGTACCTAGACAAGTATTCTAATGTATCTAGTCGTATTATATTGCTTACTCATGTACTATATATACTCATGGAATTACATCAATATCCAAGCTTTCTAACATTCTTTTTCTCAAAACTAGACATGTTCAATGGGTTAGGGGCCCATTTAAAGCCCTAGTCCAGCCCTTTTATAAAAGGGTTTTACCCATCCAATATTTAAATGGGGTGGGCTTTTAAAGAGCTATTAAATAATGGGTTTTTAAAGGTTCGGGTCTAAGTTAAAAAGGGTTGAAATTGGATAACACTTAAGAGGCTTTTTGTATCCTAATTTTTCTGTTTGTTTCTAAAACTTCCTAACGTCAATTTTAAAATTCCCTATTTCCCCCAAATTATGAACCCTAAAAAAATTCCCAGATTATAATCTTCAAAAATTCCCAGATTATAGCTAATAAATTCCTTCTTCTTGCTCGCCGCTCTTAATCTTCAACTACCAAGGTATGTTTTCGTGTATTAATTTCTAAATTTGTTTGTTTTTATGTCAATTTATGTATTCTTGCTCGCCGCTCTCAATAATGTACGAATCTATTGATTTTGTGCTTGGATTTTAAATTATATAATATTTTTTGAAGTTTGAATGCTAATTGATCATCATCTACTCGATTTTAAAAAACTAAAAAGGAGAAATTTTGAAAATTGATTGGGATTTATGGAGTGTATGAAAGGTGTTTGATAAAATGACACAATGAAGTTATTTATAGAGAAAGTGGGTGAATTTGTTCTTGGAAAGTGGGTGAATTTGCCCCCTATCATGATCATGAAAGGTGTTGCACTGATTCCATTTCTAATACAATGTCTCTTTCTTATTAGCATTTTTGTTGTTTTTTTTAGTGTGATTCTTTGATTGAATAGATGTACCCCAAACTTTTCATTCTGATTGGCAATTAGAAAAAGGTTAATTATGTGCACTTGTATTTGAAGTGTGCGCATATCTCTAAAAACTCAATAATTAAAATGAATATGCAATAGGAACTACCTGGATATGTACTTGGTTATTTTATTTTACGACTATGATTAGTTATGTTCATGGGCCGGGCTGGGCCGGGCCAGTCTTAATGGCCCATGGACAATATTGGCCCATTTTGGATTAGGCTTGGCCGGCCCGGCCCATTTTAGATAAAGCCCTGTCCAGCCCGACCCGGTCCGTTGAACAGGTTTACTCAAAACTCTATCATTTTTTCCAAATCCATTGAACAAACACTTTCAACTAAAGAACTCTTAACTCAAAAGTTTGTGCAGGAAATTTAAGATATGGAATTTGATCTCAAGAAGCAGGCTAAGGAGGAGTTTGATATCAAGAAGCAGGTGAAGAATAAAGGGTTGTTGCAGAGTGAGGAATTGCACAATGTTAGTCTTGCATTCGATCTCGCTTTCTCGAGTTATTAATATTGATCCATTACATTGATCTTGGATTGTAATGCTGAATTTTATTTCATGTTGTGCTTAGAATTAACCCAATAGTTGAATATTTGGATGCAGTATATTCTGGAAACTAGTGTTTATCCACGAGAAGCAGAACCTCTCAAGGAGCTCAGGGAAGCAACTGAAAATCACCCTAAGTAAGTTTGTTTCTTTTTTCTTTGCTATGCTATTACTCCTTCTACCTCTTTTCTATGGTTACATTTTTTTTAGACAAAGATGGTTACGTATTCTATAGGCAGCTCCTTCCTACATTTCTAAACTTTCCTAAAATAGGATACATTAAATTCATATTTTTCACAATCCAATACACTTAATTATAGGATACATTAAATTCATATTTTTCACAATCCAATACACTTAATTATGATCATATAGTGAATTAGTGAGTGTTGGTTAAAACAGAAGATTCAGGTTTGAAGTTAAATGTTCCGGAGTAGGAACAACATAGTTTGGATGACTTGATGATGAATGCAAGCTTTCAAGATGTCCTCACAACTCTATATTCTTAGTTACTCAGTGTACGAACTTAAGAAACAAAAGTGTTGGAAGGAATTAAGAAGAAACTCGAAGTTCCTGAAGGAACTTGACGAATGACTCAGAAAGTTTTAAACGAAAATTTTAAAACGGTTTTCAAAAACCCTTAATTTAAGGAAGTGATAAAAATCAGTTTTGAAAAAGATTTAAAAAGATTTTATAAATAAATAAATAATTCATTAATTTAAAAAGATAAGTTTTAAATTAATTAATTATTTATGTTTTAATTAATAAATAAATAATTATCTTTTTTAATAAATAATAATTATCTTTTGAATAAGTCTTTAACTGATTTTTAACTTGGTAAATATTGGCTTCTTAAATTAAGGAGCACGTTGAATTTAGGAGTCAAGGTAGGGAAATCATGTTCCTAAATTTCCTCTGTCTACATCCCAACTTCTCAGTCAAAGAGAACGTGGGATTAAGGGGGAAGTGGGAACTTGATGGAAGCTTGGTTTAACTCCTTATAAAAACAGATCAACGTTAAGTTTTGAAAGCGTGGAAAAACAATCTTAAGTATTCTGAGCATAGAGTTTCAAAGTGTTTAAAAGAGAAGTTCCTTCCATCCTTAGTCTCTTAAGTTCTTTAGGAAATACTTGTAATCATTGTGTAATTGGGTTTGGGTTGTGAGAGTTGTAAAGTGTGAGACTTAAGAGAGTTGTTTACACTGTACAAGTGATTCGGAGTAGAATCACAAAGTGTGAGAAACTGTGATTGAGGGATCACAGTTGGGTAACTTGAGTTCCTCACGGAACTTGAGTCTAGGCAACGTATTAGTGATTGTAAATCATTTTTACATAGTGAATTTATTCATTGCCTATCTCAGTGTCTTTTCTCTTAGTAGTAGATTTAATTCCGCAAAATTTACCATAGTCTACATACACTACAATTCACCCCCCCCCTCTTGTAGTATACATTGTTCTATCAATTGGTATCAGAGCAAGGAACTCGGAAAAGCAGGAAGCCCTGTCGTGTCAAGTTCCTGGAGGAACAATGTCGAAGGACGAGAGACTAGCTGAAGGTTATTCTACACAAAGACCTCCACTCTTCAATGGGAAGTACTACACCTATTGGAAGACGAGGATGGAGATGTTCATACAGTCCGAGAATTATCAAGTTTGGCGAGCTATCGAGGTAGGAGATTACGAGGTAACAAAGACCAATGCAGAAAACGAGGTAATTCCTAAACCTATTTCTGAATACGATATAAGCGACTTTGAGAAGAAAGAGATTAATGCTACTTCTAAAAAACTCCTAGTTTGGGGTTTAGGGCCAGATGAACACACTCGTGTTATGGGATGTAAAACAGCAAAAGAAATATGGGATTTACTAGAAATAACCCACGAAGGAACTCATGAAGTTAAACGTTCTAAAATTGATATACTGCTTTCTAAATATGAACGTTTTGAAATGGGTTCAAAAGAAACTATTCAAGAAATGTTTACTCGTTTTAAAAATATTACTAATGAATTAGTTTCTCTTGGTAGAGTTATTCCTATGGATGAACAGGTACGCAAAATTCTAAGGAGTCTTCCTGAAGATGAACGGTGGAGATCCAAAGTGGCAGCTTTGCAGGAATCAAAGGACTTTACAACTTTCAACCTTGAACAACTTGCAGGTTCCTTAATAACTCATGAGCTTCACCTATCAAACAAAAACCAAGAAAGTTCAAAGAGCCGAGGAATTGCTCTAAAGGTTGTCCAACCAAGTGAAGAGGATTCCGAATCTGGAGAGGAAGAAGCTGCCATGCTAGTCAGGAAGCTAAAAAAGTTGTACCGCAACAAAAGGTTTGGTGACCAAAAGAAAAGGAACTTCAAGAAAAACCAATATTCCAAGGAAACTGGAGGATGCCACAAATGTGGGAACACAGATCACTTCATCAAGGAATGCCCTCTCTGGGCATCAGAAAAAGGAAAAGGCAAAATGAAGGAACACGGAAAATCTAATACTCCAAACTTTTCAAAATCTGATTACAGGAAATCCATGATAGCTGCGTGGGGAGACACAAGTTCCGAGGATGAAGAAGAATCCACGGAAGAAGAGACGGCAAACCTGTGTTTGATGGCTAAACACAATGAGTCTGCTAAAAAGTCAGAGGAGGTAAATCTCGAACCTAAATTTCTGAAATCCCTGTCAAAAGACAAATTAATTTCTTTGCTCATAGAAACTTTGGATGAATATAAAGAAATATGTCTTAAACTTGGACAAAATTAAAAAGCTCTAGAAATCTATAAGGATCATATGGAATATTTGAATAGTTCAAGAACAGATGTTCAGGGAAGATTCTTTGATTTGCTAGATAGAAACTCTATGCTAAAGGAAACATTGGAAAGAGTCAAAAATGAAAATATCATGTTAAATGTTGAATTGACTCAGTATAAATTGTTATGCACTAACATTGATTCTAATAATGCTCTTCAATTGCCTTTAGTAACCTTTAATGATGATCTTGAAAATTTGAAAAAAGAATTGCAGGTTACTAAAGACAAAAATGAATCCCTTGAAAAGGATTTAGAAAGAGCTAGAAACAACAAAAGTGCAATCCACATGGGAGTTCCAAAGTGGATATCTGAAGCTCAAACCAGAAGGACAAAGGGTTTGAGTTTCAACCACAAAAAGAAGAACAGTGGTAAAAAGAAAAAGTACGTGGAACTCCCTAGTGAGACTGTGTGTTCCTTCTGTGGCAAGTCAGGACACAAAGACACTGAATGTAAAAGGAAGGAACTCAAGTCTGCTAAAAACATGAACTATGTATGGCAAAAGAAAGTTGAGTCTACTGTGTCAACGCAGGAACCCATGAAAGACGGGGTTCCTGAATCTAACCCTTAGTTTCTTTTGCAGGTCGTAGTGAGGGGGAACAACCAATGGTACCTCGATAGTGGTTGTTCCAAGCACATGACAGGAGATAAATCAAGATTTCTCTCACTGACGGCCTATACAGGAGGAACAGTGACCTTTGGTGATAACAAGAAAGGCAGCATTGTTGCCGTAGGAAAAGTTGGAAGGTCAAGTTCCCAAGCTATTGATAATGTTTTTTTAGTCGAGGGCCTCAAACACAGCTTATTAAGCATATCACAATTTTGTGATAAAGGAAACTCTGTAAGTTTTGATTCTGAAAAATGTAGCACCATTCAGAATGACACTGGGAAAGTTTTGCTAGAAGAAACTCGGAAAGGAAACACTTATACAGTGGATCTCAATACAGTTCCGAGGAACAACTTAACTTGCCTCAGTGTCATTGAGGATGATCCTTTACTGTGGCATAAACGTTTTGGTCATGCAAGTTTCTCTTTGATTGATAAGTTAAGAACAAGGAACTTGGTAGAGGGACTTCCTTCAATCAAGTTCCTATGTGACAAAATTTGTGACGCTTGTGTGAAAGGAAAGCAGGTCAGGACATCCTTTAAATCCAAGAAGATGGTGAGTTCCACGAAACCCTTAGAGTTAATTCATATGGATTTATGTGGTCCTATGAGAATTCAAAGTAGAAGTGGAAAGAAGTACGTCTTAGTAATTGTTGATGATTATTCTAGATTTACATGGGTTATTTTTATGTCTAGTAAGGATGAGACTTTTGACGAGTTTGTTACATTTTCCAGGAGAATTCAAAAGTCCACAGGTCATCAACTGATACACCTTAGATCCGATCATGGCACTGAATTTGAGAATTTTAAATTTGATGATTTATGCAGGGAACAAGGCTTAAGTCATAATTTCTCAGCTCCAAGAACTCCACAGCAAAATGGAGTTGTGGAAAGGAAGAACAGAACCTTAGAAGACATGGCTCGAACCATGTTAATAGCCAGCGATCTTCCAAGGAACTTCTTGGAAGAAGCCGTGAATACAGCCTGTTATATTATAAATCGTGTCATGCTAAGGCCTATATTAAATAAGACACCCTATGAACTGATGAAAGGCAGAAAACCGAACATATCTCATCTTAGAGCATTCGGTTGTAAATGTTTTGTGCATAATAATGGTAAAAGAAACATAGGGAAATTTGATGAAAGAAGTGATGAAGCCGTATTTCTTGGATATGCTACTAACAGTAAAGCGTATAGAGTTTACAATAAACGTACTATGTGTGTTGAGGAAAGTGTGCATGTTATATTTGATGAAACTAATCCACTTCCATGTACAAAGGAACATGAGGACTATGACTTTGAAATTGGTCTAGTACGTTCTCAAGAACAAGAAGAAGATGTAGTAATTCCAAATAAGCAGCCAACTCCAGTAAATGAAAATCATGAAAATCCGGAGAAGGAACTCGACATACTGACTGAAGTTCCTTCGACAGAATAGCCTCAGATTGAAGAACCCGCCGAGGAACCAATAACACAAGAGGAAATCACTGAAGAAGAAGCAACTGGCTCAGAAAATCAGAATAGTCGAGTTACTATCCAAACCTTCCAGCCCAAACCTTGGAAGCACCAAAAGTCACACCCACTGGACAAAATTATCAGTGACTTTTGCAAAGGAACTCAGACTAGATCGCAAATGAGGAACTTTTGTGCCTTCAATGCTTTTCTATCTACCTTGGAACCTCGCAACCATAAAGAACCCTTAGAAGACCCTGACTGGATTATAGCCATGCAAGAGGAAC